TACAACTATTATCTCCATAGCCAAAAGTAATTGGTACATTATAACAAGTTCCAATAGATTCTAAAGAATTATTACGCCATTTTACAGAAGGTTTTTTATTTTTGTCAATATTCATTCCTAATAGTTTTGCAAGACCTTTTGATTTTAGAGAGCAGTTTGCTCCACTATCTATTAATGCACCAGGTACTTGAATATTTTTTCCTGATGGTGAAGTAATTTGGCAAGTAATAGTTGCAACATCATTAGGAATAATTTTACGAATAAAATTAATTTCTATAGGATTTGGCCATGAAATTTCTGCTTCTGGTTGCATCTCTTCTAAGGCTGTTTTGGGTGGTATATTTGTTTGCTAGGAAGCAATTCGAATTAGATCTGATATTGGTTGCAAGATGTAAGAAAATATCATAGTAATCTCATGCCAGAACTTTTCTTGTTCCTTGTCTGAGAAATTCGAAGTAAAATGATTTAGAACAGGATCTTTCAGTGCAATGAATTCTGCATTAATCATATTATAACCATTAATTGAGACTTCTTTAGGTTGTGTACGAGTAAATGAATCAACCATTGACCGTAAAATAGCGAAAAATGCATTTAGGCTAATATTATCTGTAGGAATTTTAAGTAACCTAATATCTTTACTGCTCTTTTTATCAGAAGAAGTGTTACTAGATTTTTTGCTAGAAGTTTTTGGTCTGGCACTTTTGCGCTTCTTTGAGCTTTTGGTATTAGAAAAACTTATTTTTTTTTTTGTAGCATTGACTTCATATTTATCTGAATCACTTTCTGAATTACTAGACTCACTTTCAGATGATTCAGAAGATTCTGATTTGCTTTGTGAATATAACAAGGTATTAGTTTCAAGTTCATTTTCGCTAAATGTTGTATTATCATTTTCACTACTACTAGATTCTAAAGATGATTCATCTGAAATTATATAGGCATTAACATGCTTTGATCGAGTTGATGATTTCTTTTTTTGAGTCTTAGATCTTGATTTTAATTTAGTCTTGCGTCGAAAAGATTTAGACTTGCTAGAAATATTTTTTATAGCTTTAGCGATTTTAGTTTGATTAATCTAAAGGTCTTCTAATTGTTTACGAATATCTTCAACAGGATTATTATCATAAAAACTATTAGAATCAGGATCAGTATCATCTTTTACAAGGTCATCTAAGAATCAATCTATATGAATCTTGTCTACTTTTTCTTTACCAGGACCAGGCTTTTTAGCTAAAGTCTTTTTAGCTCGCTTCATAATCTCTATAAATTGTCTAATCGCTTCAGTATTAGAGTCAACTTGAGATACTTGTTTTGGCTTTGCTTCAAAGATGTGCTTCTCTGAGGCTAGACTTTGTTTTTCTCTGGAAGCTATTCGTTCTTCTACAAGCTTGTTAATATCCGCATTAGAATAAAATTGTTGTTGATGCTCTATAGCAGATTTTGGAATAGAATATGCTCCAGATAATTGCTCTGTCTTATATCTTTCAATTTCTTCGAGTTCTGTAAGCAATTCAGATACAGGCCTGTTAATTCCAATGCGTCGAATTTCTAATTGATTATCAGGAGAAATACCATGAATAAATTGTAATCGAATTTGTTGTTCATTAATACCAGCAAGCCTAGCAAGTTTACGTAACTTAGAATAGAATCGACCTACAGGATCACTGCCTTGGACTGTTGAACCAAAGAGCATTCACTGTTTTTCTGCAGTAACTGTGGGATAGTTGGTCTTGAACC